AGCATGATGCTGCCACCTCCATGCTTGATGGTAGGTTTGGTGTTCTTGGGGTTAAAGGCCTCACCTTCTCTCCTCCAGACATATTCCTGCTCAGTGTTTGTTCCATCTGACCAGAACTTTCCTCCAGAAGGCCTTTTCTTTGTCCATGTGACCAGCAGCAGACTTCAGTGGAGCTTTAAGGTTCTGCTTCTGGAGGAAGAACTTCCTTCTCCATCAGCCTCTCAGCTCATGTTGATGTCAGACCCTGTGGACACTGAATCTGACCGTTTCCTGCCGTACTCTGTTGGAGATCGGATGCCAAAGATTTAGAAGGGATGCATACAATGAATGACTGGTATCAGCAGTGTCAGTATGACTGTTGGGCTGTTCCTTGAAAACGTAGCTTGTGGGGTCACTTTCCAGTTCAAACCTCATCCCAACATCAGTTTAATGACCAGATGTTGAGGTTGAAAGTAATATTGAGCAAAATTCAAGAATAAACTGCTCATTTCCGACACCACTGAGCTCATTTACCCAACCAAAAGCACGTTCCACGTCTTTACATTACATGTAGCATCCATAATAAGTCTCGCCAGGACTCATGTCCCACAAGTTGCTGCTTCTTTTCAAGTGAACTATCCAATCTGTGTGTGTAATATGCATGTATTTCCTGTCTCAGGTCATCTACAGGGTTTTGGATCCAGCCATCAGGATCGAGGACCCGTACAGCCCCAACATCCAGAGTAGGTTCCACACAACACTTGTTCCTGTCTGATGGTTTTTTTTTTTATTATTCTAAAATATCAAAACATCAGCTTATGAGCGTTCTGTGCAGATGGAAGTTTTCTTGATTTAAGAGGTAATAAAAGCGTGTTGAAACCGTGTCGCTGGTGTAAAAATAAGCTTTCATTGCCGTCACATCATGAAGTACATGCTCCTGTAATGACGTAAACAAAGCAGGAACGTAGTAAATCCAACGCAAACGTCAAAGCGAAACCTTAAAGCTTTGCTCTAAGTGTTCCTCAGGCGATTCCGGCTTTTCCTCTCTGAGCTCAGTCCACATTTGTCGCCATGAATCAAACTCCTGCAGACACAATTAGCGCTTGTTATCCGGCTATGACACGCCGCAGACGGTAAATCTGGACTCTCTGGGGTGCGAAACGTTCCCCCGCTGCGTGGAAGACATGGCGAGATGTGAAAAGCAGCTGTTTCTCTCCCACACAGATCTCCATGTCCTGGAATCGTGTTTAGACTGGCAGCACATGAGAGCTTTTCCCAGAAACAGCGTCCGTCCTCCTGCTCTGTTGTCAAATATCTCAGTCCAACGAAAGCTAAAAGATCCACGTTTACTGTCCAGACAATCGATCAGCAGCGTCCAGCTTCGTTCTTCTTTGGTAGCTTTTTATTTCTGCGTCATTTGAGTGAGAACCTTTTGGACTTTCTTTGGCTTTCTCAGCCCAACAGCAAACCTGATATCTGATCCTGACCATCTCTGACCCAAAGTATTTTGAGATAATACAGATGCTGCGAGGAAACCTGAGAACAGAAGAGTCATTTTGTTTCTGGCAGCTTCTCTGTGAATCAGCCGCACGAGATTAAAAATGGAAAAAGACGATTTAAATAGAAGTCTTTGTGAAGAGAAATCCACTCTTAAACCTTCCTCTGCACAACAACTCAGACACTGACATGCTCCCAGACTTCCTCTAGTAGGAGTATTGAGGTGATTTTTATAGATTGAGGGGTAATATTTCTTTTCCAAAGGGGGGCAGTTCCTGTGATGTTCTTCTGGCGTTTATAACATTTGAAGATGTGAACATTTTGACCACTATCGTTTCAGATTCTTCTTCAGTCTTTACATTGCAACCAAGTTTAAAACATTCTTTTCTAAAATAACAATCTTACAGCTAAAATTTGCCGTTGACTCCTTTCTAATAGGTTTCCGGTATCACTGCTTGCTGTTTAAATGTCTTCCTCGGTTAACAATCAGTTTAAATAAAGTCAGAATTAGCTGACAGTGGAAATGCTCAAATATTAAATGGATTGTTAGCTGTGCAAGCGACTCGCTTTAGGGGTCGACAGTGTCAATCTGCCAGACATTCATCAACATTAGAGTTTGTTCAGCACTTTGTTTTCTTTGTTTACAACCCTAAGATGCAGAATTAAGATGATGAACTGGATAAATTTTACCTCCAAAACATCAGCATGTTAGCATTCTCACCGTTAGAAGACAATAAAACCCAACAACTCCAAATAAAAGACAATAAACTGATCAGAATGCAGCCAGTGGACTCGCTGTAGGTGCATCATCCAGAGCATCGAGCACGACTGGCTGCTCCAGATGAACTGTGAGATAATGATGACGTCAGCGACGATACTTCACAAAGCACCAGAATGTGACGTTTGCTGTCAGAGACCCGCCTTTGCAAAGTACAGCTTCACGCTTCTGTTTTTGCTGTTAATGGCTGGTTTTGGGCTCCTTTTACGTAAACGTGCAGCAGCTTGACGCGTCTAAATGACTCCCTCTGGTGACGTCGTTCTGCAGACGTCATGGATGGGAGTTTTAATTAGCGTTTTCTGCAGAAGTGGACAAGTCCAGTCGCTTTCTAAGATTTCAGTAAACGTCTCTCGTGCACAGATTGAGTCACATAAACTAGGAATCGCTGTGAAAGTATATATAGTTTAAGTTGCTCTCATGTTATCAGTCTGTAAAAGCTGCTTTTTTTCCATCAGGAGTACAGTTTTAGGCTCCGTATGATGTTTAGACTGAACCGTCAGATACTGCAGTCATGAAGATTACATGGAAATAAAACAATGAAATAAGTTTTAACACCTGCAGCTTGTAGGAGACAATAAAACGCTTCATGTTCTCGCAATCGTAGCTGTTTCATCTCAACATTTTTCTTGGTTTCCGCTCCATTGTGCCGTCACGTCTGCATGAAGCCGTCGAGCATCCATGTCTGAATGACGACATAAATCCAGCAGCAGTCATTCGTTGTCTGAACAGAGCCGGTAATATACCCTGTACATGGGTCCGGTTCTGCTGAAAGCTGCTGCTTGCTTTGTTCCTCGCTGAGTCGCAGGAACAGAGTCTCAGTGTTGTGGACGGATTAGCTCTCGTCTGTCGCGGCGAGATTCTGTTACTGCAGACGAAGCTGGCGGTGCAGGGTCAGAGTTTGGAGGAAGTAAATCCTCCCGCTCCGTCTTAAAATGACAGGACGTTTTTCAAACGATGCTTGTGTCTTGGATGCTCTTCGTCATCGTTATTATAATCCTCATGTTGATAACGATGCTGAAACTGACGCATCACTTCCTGCCTCATTTCCTCGTCCAAATAATAGAGTTATTTTAGGATTTGATGATGCGAGTGTTCTTAAAGGCAGAAAATGCTCGTGCTGTTGACGCTTGCAACTCTTAATATTCTTGCATTTTGTCTTTTTTCATAGATTTATTGTCGGTCTTCTGGAAATATGACTAAATCTGCTGCAGGCGTGTGTGTTTCATAGAACATGTAGAGTTATAGTTGCATTAAAAACAGAATTTTTACAAGCAGATGACAGCTTTTGTTCATCTCCTCTGATGGTTGAAAGTGAAAATAGGCCCAGAGGAAGCAGAAAAGCTGCAGGACTTGGAGGTGTGTGTGCTCCTGTGAAAGTGCATGGAGGTGTTTTTGCACATTAGCTTGCGTGCTGAACAGCTGGACTGCAGCAGTGGAAGCTGCTCTCAGACTGACAGAGTGCAAAGACGGACGAGTCCCTCCGGAAAAGGAATCGTCTCCCTCCGCATAGTTTGAGACGATAAAGAGGCAGGATGAGGGAGGAGTCGTATCAGCGACAGCTTCCAGCATCGTCCATCAGTTTGGGAGTTTTCTGACATTAATTACCTCTTATATTGACGTAGCATTAGCATTTTATGGCTGACATTGTCTCCTTAAGGGCCTCAGTGTCATTTATTTTTAAAATCTAATGTCAAATGAGTTGAACACACATCAAAGATTTAAACATTCATAGCAAATAGAACACAAGCAGGTTCTTGTAGGTTGTGAAAGAATCTCTGAATCAGGATCAGAAAGGTTTTATTCCCAAGTTGTTTTCACAAATGAGGAATCAGACTTTTACAGTCAACGGTATCATGAGAATTAAAAAGTGTAATTAAAGGATAATGAGTCATAAAATAGTAATAAAAATGCGTCCAGATGGTTCTGATCAGACAAACTGAAACCTCCTCAATCAACAGATATAAACACGCTTAAATATAAAATGCAGCAAAGACGTCGGGTTTGTTTCTGCAGCAAATGGTTCAGCCGTCACGTTGTATTAGCAGCGCTGCACATCTGCACGAGTATTATGGGATGTGACCAGCAAGGTGGTAGTTACACGGAGGATCAATCAGCCGGTTAATGATGTTCATGTGCCTGAGCAGAGCGGAAAACCTGCAGAACTTTGTGTTTTGTAACAGTTAGCAGAAGGTTAGGATGCTAACAAGAAGGTAACGTGCTCGTGGAGGATTTTTCTGACAGATTTTATTTGTGATGTAATTTTTAAAGTCAGACTTCAGTTCAGGATTCACTGTTTGATAGATTTAAAAACATAAAATGGAGTTTTACCATCAACAATGTGATTGCCACACGAGGAGGACAACAGGAGTTTGTAAAACCACCGACAAGAGTTTAAACTTTGGGTTAAAAGTTCAGCAATATGCTTTATAATAATGAAACTGGGCTTGAGCCAGTTCAAGCACGTAGTGAACACTGATCATCAGGCAGCAAAAGAAACCTCCAGTCTGCAGGAACTAAATAAAAGTTTTATCATTTAATAGCCGCATCTCGTTTGTCCTGTTTCTCGCTGCATTGTTCCAAAGTGTGATTTTAATTTAAGTTTGATTAGTTGTTCAGCTGCACTGCATCCCGCCTGTGCACAGATTTATTTTTACAGCTATTTTAGTGCAACAGAGACTAAATAGTTTACAGAGTGTAGGTGGGATTTTAACAAATAAAGAAGCTGCTTTCCGACGTGATTCTTGTGTGTTTTTAATCCTCTGTTAGTCTTTAGTTTATACTGTTTTTTACTGCTGCGCTCGTTTGACAGATGCAGCCATAAAAGACACGTTATTGTCCAATAATTAGGATTTTCAGCCAGTTTCAAAGCGTCTGCGCTGCTTTGTCCGGAGGCAGCAGAGCCTGTGACAGCCGATGTTTGACCTTAACCTCCATCAGACGGACTCCAGCCGAGCAGCAGGTTGTGAGGAGGCAACAGTCCAGCTGCAGGTCATGGTTAACTAGTCCTCTAACCAGCCACGGCTCGTTAACCAGCAATGCTTTGCGCTCCGCTGGTTGACTTCCTCCTTCTGGACCAAAGCGTTCTGTGTGTTTCGAGTCTTTTTCTTACATCAATTATTATTGTTTTTTGCCAAAAACTTCCTAAACTTCCATCGTACATGTTTTAAATTAGTACGAACTTAAAGATTCAACATGAAAAGAAGCTTTATTCTGAGTCGATGCAACCTGTTCCTCCTCTCTGTATTATTTCTTTTATACATTATTAGTATTTATGGGGGTTTACTATCCTTTAATGTCTAATTCTTGTGACCACAAGGCTTCTTTAACGCCCATAATCTGATATTACTTGTTCGGAAATAACTTTTTTTTTCATATTTATGATCAAGTATTTCACAATAAGTTTGGTTTTGTGTTATTGAGACATGCAGCTCTCGTTAACTTCTGCATTATCAAATTTTTTAACATATAAATGAGCTCAAAGGGGCGACTTTTCATGACGGCTTCAATTGTTTGTTCCATATTTCAACTCAGAGATGATTTAATCTACTTGTCTGATATCACAGATTCTGAATCCATGACCCGATGAGAAACAACAGTGAACATTTCAGGCTTTTATCTTTAATATTTCCTGAGATATTGTCGTTTAAACGGCTTTAAATTTCAATGTGTAAAAAAAAATAAAAAATAACATGATAAAAATGGGTCAGCGGGCAATTTTTAAATATAATTATCTTGTAAAGTATTTAATAAATCAATCTAAAATGTCACAAATATCTTTAGAAATATCCGTCAGGCAAATCACAGATGATCCAGACTACATTTGTGTATTAAATGTGATGATTTGAACACGTCTTATGCAATAAAACATTTTGATTTTATTGTGATTTACTTCATATTATGAGTGCAATAAATCAAGAACAACTTGAGGAAGTTTTTCCAAATTTGTCACAAACTTCTTGAAGATGAACTGAAGAGAATTTGGTCAATGTGGCTTCACAAAACACATCCTTGACCCTAATTCAAGAACTAATTATGGCCAAATTGTGCACAAATTAAAGCCTAAACTGATGAGATTTTAAACTCTAAAGGTCAAACTTAAACATAAACTTGACTGGTTTTGCATCTTCTTCCCATCAGACCAGCTGAAGATCACCAACCTGAGGGTGAACTTCACCAAGCTCCACACGCTGGGCGACAACCTGCTGGACCCCAGAGCCGAGATCAAGGAGAAGTACTACTACGCCATCTACGAGCTGGTGGTCCGCGGGAACTGCTTCTGCTACGGACACGCCTCCGAGTGCGCCCCCATCGAGGGCATCAGGGACGACATCGAGGGCATGGTGAGGACGCGAACCAGGCCGCCGTAGTTTGGTGTCCTTGCAGATTGCTTCAGCTCCCTCTCTTGTCTCCTGAAGGTTCACGGCAGGTGCGTCTGCAACCACAACACCAAAGGTCTGAACTGCGAGCAGTGCGACGACTTCCACAACGACCTGCCCTGGAGGCCCGCCGAGGGGCGCAACACCAACGCCTGCAAGAGTGAGTTCCACTGGGTTCTGCACCTGCAGGAGCTGATGGAGACCTTGGTGGTCGTGGAACCGTCCTAGCAGAACGTCTTGCAGGAAGTTTGGTTGGAATTTTATTGTTTAAACGAAAAGAGGAAACGTCCTGATTAGTGTTGGTTAAACTTTAGTTCAAACTTCTGGTCAGTTTATGAATTCGGCTCATATTTGCAGATCAAGAACTGAGAGAACCTTTAGTCAGGGATCTCCAGCTCTGGTCCTCGTGAGCTACTGTCCTGCAGGTTTTAGATGTTCCCGTACTCCTGACTCAGATTAGTGGATCTCCAACAGCTTGTTGTCAAGTTCTACACAAGTCTGTTAAAGATCCATGAATGTGAGTCAGGAGTGAACCTTCAGGACAGTAGCTCACGAGGACCAGAGTTGGAGATCTCTGCTTTCGATCTTTGAAGAGTTTGCAGTTATTAGTTCTCAGGGAAGGTTGTTCTTTCTGTTTCCACTGGAGGAACCAACA